TAGGAGTTTCGATACAAACTCATACACACAGCAGGTTAACTTTTAAGGTTGTGACAGTGCAATAACTAATGCCACTACGATCAGTTCATTCATTTTAAGATAAACCGGTACACGGGTACTCGGAGAGTGGAAACCACCATCAGCTTGCTTCTAAGCAATCTTCAAAAAAACAAAAAAAGCCAGCCAGAGCCTTACAAGCGATCGGTTGCTGCTTCAAATGCCATTTCTGCCTCTCACAGTGAGAATACACTGATGTTCAACCCGTCTCAGCACGAAAAAAAAAGAAATTTTTTGACAAAAAACCCATATTAGAGGGTCAAGAACTGTACCTGATGCCACAACTGTGGTAAATTTGGAACCAAAGTAACCATCGCTGCAAAAATTCGTCACATTCCGATACTTATTCTGCAGCCAACCAGCTGTGATACATTCTTGTGCAGTGAGGAAGAAGGAATCCTAAACAGAAAGACATTACGCAAATTTGACTGATTTCAACCAAATTTTTCATAGATTTAACAAACGGATTGGAAATTGGTGACAAAAAGTGCGAAAACGCAGATAGAGATATGCACATACACGCATGCACACACATATACACATGCACACAAATATACACACACACATCCACACATTCACACAGACAACCTCTTGCCAATACGTGTTTTTTTCGTATTTGCACAAAATGCAAAAACGCATAAAAAGTTTCTCAACTGGACATTTTTATTCATTAAAACACAAGTATGAAAACAGAGGGGGGAGGGAGGGGGAGGGGGGCGAAGAGGGAGACTGAGGTAGTCGTATTGTAAGAATGAGAGACAACAGATGAACAAAGCGAATTATTTAAATGGTACCAACGCAATGATAAAAGGGGTACGAGGAAGGTCACCAAGAATATAAGGGAGATCAAGGAAAATCTAACCAAACATATGTGTAGAATTAAATGGATAAAAGTGACTTGAAACGGAGAAGAATGGAGAAATTGCCAGCTGCATCGATAGCATCAGGAGAAAAGGGACAACGAAAGCAGCAACTGGTAAAATTATTAAAAATATGAAAAAAAAACCTTATTTCGCGTACAATGAACTGTGCCTTTTGAAGAATCTGCTGACCATAAATCTGTGAAAATCCAACCAACACGTTTCAGGCCCAGAAAAGAGCAAAGTTCATCCACCAATTCCTCCTGTGGATCGTCTTCCAATGTCAACGAATCTGCTGAAGATGACTGAAATGCAAAAATTATGCTTCAAACAACAAAACCAACGAAACAGGAGTATGAAGAAATAGTTTTCTAACCTGTGGTGGTTCATAGATCGCTGCAACGGTTGCTTTTATACCCAGTGGTACTTCCGGGAAAAGCTCATAGCGACCGATCATAAAACCGGCACGT